GATAGGTATTCTCAACTGACATCCTTCCTTGGGCTGGGCGGAGAAATCATCACATCTGTCCCAAAACGGCCAGATCCCCTCGAAAGCGCAACTGCTTACATGAAATTATCTGCCACGCCCCTTTCATCTCCGGGATATGGAACATATTTATTAACGAACGGAAATATATGGACAAGACTCCATGACGACTCGTCCCTTTGACACTCATATTCAAGGCTAGGTAGGGCAACTTGTCCGAGGGACGACGCATTATGATTGTCTTGTCACGCACCCGACGAACCCTTCCTTTTAGTGCCATAAAGGGGCAGGGCCATCAGCGAGAAATGCAAAATGGGGTGTGTCCCCGCTGGAATTATTATGGTGGAAACTTGTTCACTGGAAGTCTCATGCTCGGTCCAAAAAAGAGTTGTTTATCCATGAGTATGAATTTCAGGCTATGTGTACGGCGAAAATCATTTCACAACATTTGATGGTACCAAGTACTCATTTCATGGGAAAGGTCATTACATTCTCTCGATGATGAAATCGCCACGTCACGACTTCATGCTCCAAGCCCGATTTGAGCAGCCACCAGAAACACTGTGTAGGTGAACCAGACAATAATACTCTGATGATTTTTTCAATTCTAGTTTTTTAGGGGAAGAACGCGTCCGATCGACAGTCACGACTGGTTTGGCAGCTAGAGACAATCACTCATCAATAGTACAGGTACAAGAGTGAAGATCGAAATCTTTTAGAAAACAGTTCGTAGTCCAATTTGAGTGAGGGATAACACGTTCATAAGTCAAATCTGAACGTGAGGGAAGCGGCTAGCACGTGATCTATTCCTTCGGAATGCGCCCTTCTCAGAGTGTGCCCAGCTATTAGGAAGGAGCGCTGTTCGGTTTTTGGAAGGACATAATTGTTTGCGCTCCTGCGATAAGTTCGTTTTGTTAGATCAGTTAACTGTCACAGTCTCATGCACCAAAATGCGAGCTAAAGTGATGAGTAGTATTGGCCCCCATTCAGGCGAGTTGCCTCAGAGCATTTTAAGCTGTGGCCTTCGCCCCACAATAACCTTTTCCGATGTTGAGCAATGTTTCAAAAAGGTAGTTCTGGACCTATTCTGCAATCTTGGACGGCGGTAACCCAGCCTAAGTCAGATTACTGCCGTCCGTCCCTGCTGATTTCTGATGTAGGTATTCCAGGTATTCGCTCGCAAAGACCATCGACGTTGGCGCTATCGAACCTGACGTGTTCGTCGACGGTGAACGGATATTCTTCGATATGCCGTGGAAGAAAATTCAGTTGTTCAAAGGTGACGCGTCAGAGCGCAGACTAAGCTCGGGGTGTCAGTAAGGAGATCTTCGCCACGCCCACGTTGCAAAGGCTGATTGCAAGTTGTTCACGTGCGCGGCAGTCGCACCAGATCCTATTTGATTCAGTGAATGTGAAGGTGCTGCCGTGCGTTGAGTGAACAGTCAGTTAGCAACCGCTAGATACTTTCTGCAATGTGACGCGACGTAGATCTCCTTGTCGAGACCCGAACCCTGCTCAACATATATTTGGTTTCGTTGCAGAGACTGGGGCGTGTCAGGGGACTGGGTTTGGTGCGGCGCCAGCCTGTTGTCCACCAACTGTCACCGCTTGCCCGCTTCAACAGTTGGTGGAGAACGGGCTGATGCCGCGCCAATTCCAGCCCCCTCCCCCTGTCATGGACCAGCGTCTGCTGCGCAAAAAGCCTATAAGTTGCGACATGCAAGTGGTTGCGAAAATGTAGGGAATCCTCAATAACAATCCCATTGGATAATTTTTTCGAACAAAGGCTGCAGTAAAAACAGGTCCCTGGAAATTCATTTTTGAGAGTAGCCGCTTCAGGAGTAACAATTCGTTCTCCACCACGAAACATGAACCAGTCGGAGCTGGAGATCATGTTCGCATCTGGTGCAGGTCTCCGAATTGAGGAGAGTCGAGGTCTCTTGAATGTCATCGTTGCGCTACCACATGGATTCAGCGAAGTTGATGGAGTGAGTCATAGCTTTAGAAAACTTATGACTTCACTAGGATTTCTTTTCTCACAGGCTGAAGATAGCCACTTTTCCATTCGTTGCTTTAGCGCCTTTGGGATGCTCCCAAGGAAGAGCCGTACTTCTGGGAACAAACCACAACTCAAATAATGGTACTCACTCGATTTGACAAATGTTCAACGCATTATCGGACTGTTGGACTTCTAGGTATGAGAGATTCTGAAATTAGCTTGAACTTTTTTGTTCCATGATCCCTTTTCGTTGTTTTGGACCGCAAGAAAACTCTGAGGGGCATACCACGGTAAGCGGGTGGATGGAGACTCACACGCCCTCCTTATTGGTTCCCAACCTCGCTTC